AGAGGTCTAGTTGGGAACTGGTGGCTCATGCCTATAATCCTAGCTACTCAGGAGGCTGAGATTTGAGGATTTTGGTTCAAAGCCAGCTTGAGTAGGAAAGTCTGTTAGCCTCTTATATCCAATTGGCCACCAGAAAACCAAAAGTGGTGTTGTGGTTTAAAGTGGTAGAGCACTAGCGTTGAGCTAAAGAGCTCAGGGAAGTGTCCAGGCCCAGGGTTCAAACCACATAACTAATGAAACAAAAACAAAAATAGAAAGAGAGAGAGAGAGAGAGAGAGAGAGGACAGTTTAGCAAAGGTGCCTTACATCTCCTAAACTGAAGGACCAGTGAGTCCTGGGGCCTTTGAGGAAGTTCCCCTCTGGCCCTTGCTGTTCTCTCCCTTATAATGAGGTTAATGCTGCTGCTGCTGTAACTCCATCAGGCCAAATAATTCAAGTGGAATACATAGTATGCAGGTGGAATGCTTGGAGTCAGGGCTGGTGGAGATAGCCAGAATAAAACTGATCATAATGAGGCTGAGGCCAGGACACAGGGAGGATGGGGAAGGATGAGGAGAGGAAGTCTTGAGTATGCATAGGGTCTGGGGATTTCCCTTGGAGCTCCTGGCCATGGCCTGCTCATTCCTGTCAGTCCAGAGTCCAGTTATACAGCAGCTGGAGGAAAGCTGGAAAGAAATTGGTAAGTGGAATGTGGCACTTGTGCTCTCTCAGGGCCTGGTGGAGGAGCTTGGAGAATTTTCTGGGTATATTGTGGCTAGTGTTTGGAGGGGTGGGGGACCTGAGGCCATACAAGGATAGTTTCTTTTCTGAGTGTTTGCTTCAGGCAGGTGCCAAGGCCTGGGAACAGGTGGGAGGGGTGGGAGGAGGATCTAGGGTTGGATTTTACGAGCATTGCAAGGTTTTTTGGCTTCATGCTTGTGACTTCCAGTGTGTGTGTGTGTGTGTGTGTGTGTGTGTGTGTGTGTGTGTGGAGGGAGGACTCCATCCCTGAGCAGTGGCTGCCTTGGGCTGGCTCTGAAACAGGTAGCTGCATGTGGATGTCTAAGAATTTCTCCCTTGCATACCTGTGTGAACCTGTGAATCCCAGAGCAGCTGCGGGGCTACCTAGGAATTTAGACATTTCTGGGGGAGATGGGAGGGGGTCTATGTGTCACTGAATGTCTGGACTTGTGCTCTGTGTGTGTGTGTGTGTGTGTGTGTGAGCGCGCATGCACGCACACACACGCTTGCTTGCTTGATAGATCGGGTATCAGCGCAGGAAGGGGTAATGTGTGTGCACACATCGTGCTAGTATGATGTTCTATATCTCTGCAGCCTCATGGAAAAGCCACAGTGCAAGGCTATGAGCCAGCATCAACATGCTTCCTAAGCATCTACTATGTTCTGGACCCTATGCCAAACACTGGAGAACCAGAGAGAAGGAAAGCTCAGGCTAGCCCTTGAGGGGTTTTCAGGGCAGAGTAGGAGAGGGAGGAGGGGAGGAGCAGAATGAAAAGCCATTCAAGGCACCAGGCTGGGAACCCACAACACTACAATTATGGGATGATCCGTTGAATCTCCCCTACTCTGGATTATTAGGGCTCTGCTCGTAGGGGCTACGCAATGCTCTGATATGACATAAGCAAAGACCTCTGTGAGTCAGGCTATGCCCCTGCACCCTCTGAGCCAATCACCTCCATCATTGAGCCCATGCTGACAGTCCCACTGGGACTGGACTCCATTCCTGTCTCCACTGCTATAGCTGTGCCACCTGCACCAGCGATTTCAGCTTTCCCAGCCTCAGTTTTCTCATCTGTGCAATGGAGATAATGACTTCCCAAGTTTCCCAGGGCTCTTGCGGCTTCAATGAGACTATGGGCTGGGCCTGTATATGCATCCAGCTTGGTATGCCAGAAGTAATGCTGCAGAATGGCTACAATCAGCAATGAGGAGCTGCACCTGGGTGTTCTGGGAGGTCTTGTTGACAAAGAAAGCAAGGCAACACGCTAAGGATCAGGGGGTGGGGGCAGGGGGTGGGACCTAGGAATCACCCTTGCAGGAAGGTGGGATCTGGGATCCACGGCATGGGCTGATGGCAGCTCATTTTCTATGTGCTTCTCATTCTCCAAATGCTGATATCTCCATGGACTCTTTAGTGCTTTCTCCAGTTTCTTTGCAGGACATCCTACCATCCAATGCCAATTGGTAACTTGTAATGCTCACTTTGGGAGCAATTGCCCCCTCCATTCTGCACCTTCTCAATGCACACACATACTTGTGTGTGCTTGTGGGGCTTAAGGACCAGAGGAACAGCCCAGGCTGGACTCCCTCCCTCACCTGCCCATATTTGAGTACCTATGGGTGTGGCTGGGGCATGGTGGCATCTTTTCCACCCCCCAGGTTACAGCTCATCCTCCTCTCTGACTCACACTGCCCCTGCTTGGGACCCTCCTGCTCTGAACCTCCTCTGTCCTGGTTCTCCCCCTTACCAGTGATGTGCTCAGCCATAGTGAGGAAGGATATTTAAATTGATGGTCCAGAAATCAACAAGTCAGTGGAGCATTGGTGGCTCACATCTATCACCCTAGCTATTTCAAGAGGCTGAGATCTGAGGATCCTGCTTTGAAACCAGCCTGGACAGACAAATATGAGTGATTATTATCTCTAATTAGCTAGCAAAAGGCTAGAAGTGGCTAGTTGTGGCTCAGAGGGTAAAGCACTACCCTTGAGCAGAGAAATCTAAGCAAGAGCGTGAGGCCCTAAGTTCAACCTCTATTACCAGCACAAAAGGAAAGAAAGAAAGGAAGGAAGGAAGGAAGGAAGGAAGGAAGGAAGGAAGGAAGGAAGGGAAGGGAGGGAGGGAGGGAGGAAGGGAAGGAAGAAAGGAAGAAGGAAGGGAAGGGAAGGAAGGAAGGAAGGAAGGAAGGAAGGAAGGAAGGAAGGAAGGAAGGAAGGAAGGGAAGGGAAGGGAAGGGAAGGGAGGGAGGGAAGGAAGGAAGGAAGGAAGGGAAGGGAAGGGAAGGGAAGGAAGGAAGGAAGGAAGGAAGGAAGGAAGGAAGGAAGGAAGGAAGGAAGGAAGGAAGGAAGGAAGTCATGCAAAATAGACATCCATCTCAGACCTCCAAACTAGTAAAAACAGAAGCACACATTATTTCCTGCCTGAAGGCATGAAAACTGATACTAAGTGCCAACACAGGCTTAGCATTGGCTATCTCTTCTGTACAAAAATCCTACAAGCTATTTGTTATCATCCTCATTTCCTATCTGGGCTCAAAATTGACATGATTGGACTCAGAAGCCTGCATACTATTCTGGGCCATGCAGTGGTTCAATAAATAGAACCACTAGATTGGACAGAGCTGGCAGAGCTGTTAAAGATCAATGGGTCATCTGGTCACACTGGCTCATTGACAGAAACAGCTCAGAGAGGTTCATTCACTATGACCTGTTTTTTTCAACACCACCTGACATCACAGTGGCCATCTTCCCAGCAACTCTCCAAGACCTCAGGGTGCCACGGTGTACTGTAAAGATGTTCTACCTGCATGGCTGATTTTCCTGAAACTTTATAAGATTTGCCATTCCTTCCAAGTTTTTATTTTGTCTTGCTTGATTTGACTCAATGTTCAAGGTTTTCAAACACATTTTAAATCTCACTTGGGTACTGGTTATTGATCTTTCTAGACTGGTGCCACTCCCTGTTTTGATTGCGCATCTTCACTGCAGAAATTGGAATAAAATTGTTTATAAAGGGTGAGAAAGGCCCACTGCTGGTGATTGTGCCTGTCATACTAGCTACTCAGGAGGCTGACATCTGAGGATCTCACACAGAAGCCAGCAGGGCAGACAAATCCAAGACACTCTTTTTTGTTTTTTTGGGTCTGGTCGTGGGGCCTGAACTCTGGGCCTGGGCACTGTCCCTCAGCTCTTCAGCTCAAGGCTAGCGCTCTACCACATGAGCCACAGCGCCACTTCCGGCTTTCTTTTTTGCTTATGTGGTGCTGAGGAATCGAACCCAGGGCTCATGCATGCAAGGCAAGCACTCTACCACTGAGCCACCTTCCCAGCCCCCCAAGACACTCTTATCTCCAATTAACAAAAACAAAAACAAAAAACTGCAAGTGGAGCTGTGACTCAAGTAGTAGAGCACTAGCCGTAAGTGAAAAGGCTAAGGCAAAGTGTGAGACTCTGGGTTCAAGCCTCAAACGCCACCCCCTCCCTCCCCCCTCCCCAAGTAAGACAGAACTTTGGGCACCTCCACACCTTCAAAATTAGTTCCCTCTTCTATGTCTGTTTGGCCTATTGCTTAGTATGAATTTCTGTCCTATTCAATACCGACCGCCTTTTGTCAAACACCCATGGAGGCCCGCACTGTGCACCTGGCTTGTGACCGCCAGCCCCCCCGTTTATAGACAGGGGTGCCCTTTTCATCCTGCTGTCTGACCAAGGATCCCCCCACGGGAGTCCCTTTGCCCAGCAAGACGGGCGGCTGCAGAGAGACCGGCACCACTGGGCAGGAGCGCGGACAAGACGCCAATTTCCGTAGTCTCTAGGCCGGTGCCTCCCCCCTCCCCAGGGTGCAGCTCGGAGGAGAGATTGCGGGTCCCTCCACCCCGTGCGGGAGAAGCACCCAGCGCGGTACCCCTATCCCCGCCTCTCCAGGCCCCACGGGGCTTGGGGGGGGCATCACTCGTGTCCCCGCGTCCCCAGGTGGGCCCGGCGCCAGGTGAGCTCTCACCTGGGGCGAGTGTGGGGTGGGGGTAGAGGTGGGGATGAGGAGGGGGCGGACCCGGGTTGGCGGCCCCACCCGCGACGGGGCGGGGCGAGCGCGGCGGGGCCAATGGGGAGGGGGGGAGGGGGCTCGCCGTCCGGACCCGCGCCACTCCCGCCCCTCGCGCCCCCCCCACCCCCGCCTCCTCGTCCCGCTCCGCCCCGCCCGGGTTTAAAGCCCCGCGGGCGGCTGGTGGCGGCGCTGCGAGTGCCGGGCGGCGGGAGGAGATGCCAGAGGGCGCCGCGCCGCCGGCACCATGCGCCCCGCGCCCGCGCTGGCCCTGGCTGCGCTCTGCCTGCTGGCGCTGCCCGCCGCCGCCGCCGCCGCCTCGGCCTCTTACTTCGGGTCAGTGCCCGCCGCATCCCTCCCCCCCCGCCCCCGCCCAGCCTGCGCCCGGCCCGCGCCCCCAGCCCGCGCCCGCCTCCTCTCTCCCGCAATCGGTGCCTCCGCACCGGGCCCGCTCCCGCAATCGGTGCCCCCGTGCCGGGCCCGCTGCCGCAAACAGTGCCCGGCCTGCGTGCGACCCGCTCCCGTCACCCCTCCGGCAGTAGCAGAGCCAGCGCCCCGCACCCCAGTCCTCTGTCCCCGGGTCCCGACGAGGCCTCCAACTCAGACCCTCTTCCCGTCGAGATGCAACCGGGTCGGAGTTCGAGTTCCGAGCTTCCTCTCTGGTTTTCTGGGCTCAGACTCCCACCATCCCTTCTGGACGTCTAGTCTTCCGTGCCCTCGCCCTGCTGGGCGTCAGACTCCTCCAGCCCGAACCCCGCGACTCCGCGCGCACGCCTGCGGTCCTGGCGCTGCCCCTCCGGGCGTCCTCTGCGCCCCATGCCCGCTCTGGACCCTCACTCGGCTGCCCTGTCTCTGCTCCCCTCTCGGGCTCTGTCCAGCCTTCGCCTATCTCCTTGCGGTGCGGGGGATTTGGAGGGCTGGGCGGATGAGTGGGGAGGGGGGTAGATAATGGGGACCCAGGCAGAGCTTCTGGATGACCCAAAGGGTATTGGAGGCGCGCCGACGGTGGGGAGGGAGGGTGGACTGAAGACACGCGAGGAACTGTCCGCTGAGGAAACGATCAAATCTCAGAATGCACCTGGCGTCGGGTGACTTCTCGGGAGGGTGGACATGGCTGGAAAGAGGGGATGCCAGTTGAGAGGCTGGAGAGTGTGGGGTGGGATCCAGGAGGGGGAAGTTGGGAAGGAAAGATAGGGGGCAATTGTCTCCATGCCTCTTCTCTGATCCTGAAAGACAGGCACTTGGCAGGGGTGGGGTGGTGGCAGGGACCCTGGATCCGAAAGCATCTTCCTCATCTCCCCCCAAGGCTGTGACTTTAAACCTTTCCTCTTTTGGTGAGTTTCTCCCCAAGTCAGGGCGAGGTTCACGGTGTGATCCCATTCTAACCAGCTACTGATGTGGCAGTGGCTGCTTCAGGGGTGTGTGTAAGGGCTGTGAACTAATTTCCAGGTCATGACCCTCTGCACTGTAGGCAATAGTCTCCTCTGAAATATATGGGCCCGGTGTTGGGGGAGGGATGTTAACTCTAATCCTATCTCTGGGCCCTGTTTATGATGACCTGAGAAGAAACTGGGCCTCAGTTTCTCTTGGGGCTCAGGTTGGAGTTGATGTGTGACCCCCCCCCCTCCCCGCCACAGCAGTAGACATAGATGATATTGCTTGCTGAGTATTTCAGGCTAGAATGAGCTACCTTTCTTTCAGCAGGCAGAATGTAATGGACAGGGCACAAACTCTGAGTTCCATCCTGCCACTTTCTTGCTGTGTGCTTTTGCCATATCACTTAACTGTTCTGTTCCACAGTCTCTGATGAGGAGCTCAGTGCCTGTTTTGTAAGAGGATGGAGTAAAGATATGAAGGTGGTGGCCCATACCTATAATCCTAGCTACTCAGGAAGCTGAGACATGAGGATCACAGTTCAAAGCCAGCCAGGCAGAAAAGTCCATGAGACTCTTATCTCCACTTAACCACCAAAGAGCAGGAAGTGGAGCTATAGTACAAGTGGTAGAGTGCCAGCCTTGAGTGAAAAATGCCGAGGAAAGCACCAGGGCCTTGAGTTCAAGTCTCAGTAAACCCCCCCCTCACACACACACACATACAAAAGTTATGCAAAGCATAGTGAGTGCTTGACCTAAGCTTCTAGTGATTATTAGCATTAAAGAAACCAGTACAGTATCCAGGTGTCTCAGCCTTGAGACGTTTCTGAGCCAGAATGGAGAAGGGAAGGACATACACTTAGGTATTAGCTCCTTTCCACAATTCTCTTGTTTGCTTGAGTTTTCTGATTAGCAGTAGGAGAGAAGGTCAGGTAGGATGAGAATAGGGGTTCCAGAGCTCCTGGACCCCTTAGCTGGAGTGTTAGAAGAAAAATGAGTTTTTAGTAATGCTCAAGATTAGAATGGGTTTTGTGTGTGTGAACAAGGGGTTGCCTTGGAAATGAGAGGGGAGATGGCCAGTCTGCCCCATGGTCAGGTCTGTGAGATGTGAGAATGGGAAATATCTGTTCCAGATTAGGAGCTTAGCTAGATAGAACTGGCAAGGAATACTAGAGCCACCACCCCTCCAGTTGGGAATAAATTAAAATCAGAGCTTCATATTGTTAGCTGTTTGACCCCAGAATAATGGACAGGATTCAGCCAGGGCTATCATTCAGGACATCCTCTTGTGACTCAGTTGTTCCAGCTAGGATCAGGGTGCTCAGTTTTCTACTGGAATAATTTTCCTCTGGAAGAAATCTGATATCACTTTCGTGAGAATGTAAGGCAATGTGCTTTGTCTTCAATGCATTTGAAGTATCATTTCTAATTATCACATAGAGAGGTCTAGTTTATTACCCAGTGCAAGAAAATTTGACTCTTGGGAGAGTGAGATCAATTTTCTTGAGGCAGCCTTGAAAGTGCTCTACCACCTCCTTTAAGATGGTCAAGTATTCCCAGGCTTTCCATTTCCCCTTGTGTGTTGTTACTGAGATTTCTCTCAGAAATGGAGTTTGGGCTCTGAGAGGCACTGGTCCTCATATTCTTTTGGAACTGCAAGCAGGCAGAAGGAAGAGGAGGAGAAAGGAGAAGGAAGGGAGGAGGAGGAGGCAAGAAGAGGTTAAAAATCAAAGACAGTCACATGTAATTTTTCCTATTTTTCAGATGAAGCAAAACCTCTACTCCCAAACCTGTGAGCCAACAATGGCTTCTTCCACTCCCCTACCTTGCCCTGGTACCAGAGTTTGAACTCAGAGTTTGAGCTTGCTGTGCTTGCATGCTCAGCTAGCACTCTACCATTTGAACCACATCTACAGCCCTGCATTTTGCTTGTTAGTTTGGACATGGAGTCTCACAGATTTTTCTGCCTGTGCTGGCTTTGAATCTTGATCCTCCAGATCTCAGTCTCCAAGTAACTCAGATGTGAGCTCAGTGGCTCAGGTGTAAGCCACTGGAGCCCAGCCTCTCTGCATGAGCCTTCAATCTAGGTGTGTAGTTGATGATGGTAACATACGTAGTCTAGAAGTTAATCCCAGCCTAATGAATGATTTATTTATGCATCCTCTTCTCTACGGGACCTGAGGCCTGTATGGTGTGGGCAAATGGTTTCCAAAGGAAATGGATCATCAGAAAAGTCTAGTGAGTCACCTGGTATCACAGTGTGAGTCTTGTGCTCCATGCTCTACAGGGAGTGGTCCTCTCCTTAGCTGCCATGGACCCCAGGGACACAGCAGCTATGGAGGGGTTGCACAGGGCAAGGGCTGGAGGTTGGTCTGTACCCTCTGCTCCTTTAACTCTCTCTCATATCCTTCTTCCTGACCCCAGAGGAAGAGCTCACAATGTGCGTCTCTGCCTATAACAGTGGGACGGGGCACACGGAACCCTGCCTGGCTGTCAGGAGGTGCTCAGAGGATAGCAGGAGGTGGCTAGAGCCTCAGAAACCACCAGCAGCTGTGCTGGGAACTCGCTTTGGGTCCATCCTTTTCAAGCCTCTTATCCATCTTAAAGCTGTGTATGCCCATCACACCCAGAGGTCAGCAGGGTTAAAATATCTGCCCCAAGTCACAGAGCCAGCGATAGGGAACACTTAAATTCGCATTACAGAGCGTTTTAGTAGAGTTGTCCAGCTATCCAGACAAGGACATCTAGTCCTAGAAAACTGTAGACTTTCAATGCCAAGACCAGGTCTGCTAGGGTTAGGGGACCTTAGAACTTCCAAGGTGCTAAGAATCCTGGGGACAAGTGACTTCTTGATGAAGGACAACACAGCGAATGCCCAAGAATCAGGCAACCTTGGTCCCTAAGCTCTAGTTCACCTCCTGTCACTGTATATTTGTGGCACCCTCTGTGAGCCTCACAGGGCCCAGTGTATCCAAAGAAACAAGACATAGCCTTTATTTTTCCAACTCACTATTGCACATATAAAATTTATATTTTAAATAAGCAGATTGGATTTTTACAAATAGATACACCTGTATACACACTTGAAGTGACCAGAATTTTTTTGATCTTTTGTGGGGCTTGAACTCAGGGTGTAGGTACTGTCCCTGAGCTCTTTTGCTCAAGGCTAGCACTCTACCACTTTGAGCCACAGCTCCACTTCTGGTTTTCTAGTGGTTAATTGGAGATAAGAGTCTTATGGGAACTTTTCTGCCTGTGTGGGCTTCAAACCATTATCTTCAGAGCTCAGCCTCCTGAGTAACTAGGATTAAAGGCTTGAACCACTGGCACCTGGCCAGAATTATTCATAGAACATTTCTACCACTCTGAAGGAATTTTTTCCTGAAAAAACTCACTCCTCTGCTTTCTGCTTATGTAAATGAGATCATATGGTCTAGAGCCTTTTGTGCTTAGATTCTTTTGTTCAATATGACATTTTTGAGATTCACTCATGTCATTGTATCAGTGGCTCTTTCCTCCTTATTCTTGAGCAGTAGTCCATTACATGAATGGGCTACATATTCTTTCACTGATTTCTGAGTTGATGCGAATTTTGGTTTATTTCCAGAGTTTTAGATATTCCCAGTATGCAACCATGAATACCTCTTTCATGGACATTTCTCCATTTCTCTATCAGGGCCTAGGATTGGATTGTTGAATCATATGGTAGGTGTATGTTTAACTGATCAGAAGAAATGACCGAACAGTTTTCTAAGATGTTTTTGCCATGTCACATAGTACTATATGAAAGCTCTAGTTGCTTTCTATTCTTGCCAATTATAGACAATTTTAACAGTGGCCATTTTAGTAGGTATGTATATTGGTATCTCATAGTGGTTTTAAGTTGTATTGCTCCACCAGTGAATGGTGTGTTGGATGTTCTGACATGTGAATATTGGTTAATGGAGTATCTTTTTGTTGTTG